ACTCTTTCCATTTAGTCATCAGAGAAAGCAGTATTTTCCTCAGCTTCAAGAAATTCTCTGCTGCTGCCTATGACAGCACTGGGAGTGCAGGGCTGTGCACCTGAAGGTGTTGCAGCAGGAGGCTCTGCCTCAGGGGGTCCCTCAGCTTCCTTTGTGATTCAGTTGCTCCTTGTCTCAGCCTCACACCCTCTGTCCCAGCTTCACTGCCCTCAGCCTGGAGTTGCAGAGTCTTCCCAGAAAGCAAAGGGCTGAGTGAACTCTGAACTGGTAAGTCTTGAAGACACCAACAGAAGACTGGTATGTATTGCTAAGGGGAAGGCACATTATGCTTTTGTGTGCACTGGTGATTTGAGCTTTCAGAAATTTTTAGCAGGACTCTGCTAATACAGGTGATGTGCTTTCTTCAGTAGGTGTTGTGAATAAAGAAAAAAAATAAATCAGAATTGTGGACAAATAGGTTCTAGAAATTGCAAGAATAGGAAAAGTCTTTCAGTGTTTTCAACTTCTGTTGTGTTATCCCTGGCTTGTGTGGAAGCTTGGGGTGCAGACCAGAGAGATTTTAGCATCTCAGGGGTAGTGCCACAGAGTAGAAGAATTTTAGATGCCAAATCACTGTATACAGTAATATTACATTGCATTATCACCTCTTTCCTTCTTATTTCCAAATTTTTCCCAAGAAGATGTATCCCAGAGAAACAACTCCTTTGTCCCAGGACAAATGAAACTGGCATAGTTAAGGAGAGAACTGTTCACCAGTGTTGCACACCAAGGACATCCTGATGATGAGAAACTCTGTGTTTATTGGTTCAATTATTCATTAATGTCATCATGAATCTGGGAAAAGAGATTGTGCTTTTATCTTGTACTTCCCTGACTGAACTTCTTGTTCATTTCAGAGCTTACTGCTAAAGATGTAATTTTCTGACTCCTACAGAGTTTGCTGCACCTTGATACAATGTGAGGCTAAAGGCAGAGAAGATGAGATTCTCTGTGCCTGGGTAGCTGCTGAGATAAATAGAGTTACTCAGGTCAAAGTGATGGTGGAATTTGGTTTAGCTTGGCAGTGACAAACATTGGCACTAATATCACATTTGCCACTAATAGAGGTTTGGATTGTGAGCAGTGAAGGTGAACTGGGCTGGATAAAAAATACAGCACCTGGCATTTTTGCAAACAATCTTTCAGCAACTTGTCTTTTTGGCAACTGCTCAGCACTGATTTGATGGAATACATTGAGGCTAAATCCATTGGGACATCTTTGATGAGATAACTCATTTTCTACATAACAAAGTGCAATTGGACTCCTCTAGCTGGACTGTAGTGGGGTGTGTGATTTGGCATCTCTTAGGGAAATTAGAGAAAATGCTCATCAGAAAGAAAGTTGCAAAGTGAGTAAGGAATGATGAGAAGGGCTGAGAACTACAGGAGATGCTGCAAAATTGTAATAAAAGGTCTAGGCTACAGAACACTTTATAAGGACTGGTCTCCTGATTAAGATTATTTTCTGGTGTTTTTGTTAATATCATTGTCCCAAAAAGGAGATGTGGGCTTGTAAAATATACAGATGACAGAACTTTGAATAGGAGGGGCCTGTCAGATGGGAAGAACTGGATGAACTCAGGGCCTGGAGTAGTCAGAATCAAATGAAGTTCACAGCTGTGCAGTGCAAGGTTGTGCATTTGGAGCCTAATAAGTTGCAAGCTCATGTGTGGGAAATGGCTGAGGAAGCAAAAGAAGTAGTGAAACTAAAGAGCAATGTTGGCAAAAGGACAAGTCAGTATAAAGCAATCATGAAACTAGAAGGACATTTTTAGTTGTTGATGAAGTAAAATTCTGGAGCAGCTTTCCCATGAAAGATGGGGGGGCAAAAATAATTCTAATACCTTTTAAGGCAAAACTATGGAAAGACTTTATTGTGATATGGTGTCTTGAATGAAGAGCTGAAGAGAATTCAAAAAGTTCTGTCCTCTTTTTTCTTAAGAGTAAAGCTGTATATCAATTACATTTCTTATGTATTTATCTTTTCTTTTTTGGGGGATTAAGACCCCAAGGCCTGGTCAGCATCTGATCTTGGATAGATATAAAAAAATGGGAAATTATTGAATCATATAGATTTTTTTTTTTTATTAGAGATGTCAGGTAAATACTTGTTACCTGCAGGTACCAAGTCCTGCTTATTCCTTAAACCTTACATGTGGCTTCTACTGCTAAATCTTTATTTAATATAAGTAAAAAAACCTAAACAACTTTCTTTGCAAAGATGTCCTGCCACGTGCAGTGACAAGTTTGTGGGACATCTGTTTGCTCTGAGGAGGAATGGCTATTTGAGAGTACTTGATTTATACATTCAGAGTGTTTCTTGCAGTGTGTGGCACCACTGCCAAATGAGAGTGAAGGAACAAAAGAAGCTTTGCATCTGCCTCAGGTGACAATGAACTGTCATTCTTGTTTGGGGAGCAGTTTTAATGAGAAGGATGCATTTCTGTAAGTATACCATTGCCATTTTACTTCATCACACTAATTGTTTGGGGTTTTTTCTATTTTTTTGTAAACAATGAGCTCTGAGGTATCAGAAGCATATTGAAGAGCAGGCCATGGTAACACGACACACTTCTGAAACTTGAATCATTCCTTATAAGCCACCAGTCATATAATCTGAGTGTATAAATGAGTGCTGGTCAAATGGCTTCCCCAGTGTCCTGCATCTTTAAACCCTAGAGATTTTGGCAACTCTGTTCTCCAGTGTAGTAGGAAGCACTGAGCTGCAACTGTTTAGCTGGTGTGGCTGATCAACTAGTAACAAGATTGTTTTGAACTAATTTTGGTAACTAGAAGTTTCGAGTTTGATCTTTATTAGTTTTGGAGACATAAAATTCCCAATGTGTGTACTCTGAATAGCTCCCAGAAGTCTGTGAATCCTCATTTTAATTGCAAATCTTAACATAGAATTAATTTCAGTACAAATTGCAAGTATCCAAATGTTCAGAATGGACATGTTTGTTTGCTGTTTATTACTTTTCTAGTTTCAATGATCCAATCAGGCATCAGAACAGTAACAATACCGTGTGATTCAAGTGGTCAGTGACCCTCTGTGAATATCCAGTGCAGGATTCCTGAAGTGAACAAGTTGCAACGATCTGGACAAAAGATAATTATTTTTTTTACAGCTGATGAATGTGGTAATTAGTGTTAGTTTGTCAAAGAGAAGAAGAGTTCATGCTCGTGGCCAAAATTATTTGTAAAAATATCTCACTTGCAAACAAGTAAATTAATCTCTATCCTTGGCTGCTGTGATACTCCATTGAAGAAGCATCCATCATATCTTTGCTACAGTTGGAAAAGTGGCCTTTTGTGAGTTGTAGACTAAGCCCATTAGACCTTTGGCTATTTTCACCAGCAAATTTTGTTATCAAATATACATTGCAGTAATACCTCTTACAAACTCTTACCTCCCTGTCTCGTGTTGACACATTTGTAAGTACATAAAGACCTTCTAATAAGTCTGAATCCTTTCAGGGAAATGGAATTGACTTAATGTGGCTGTTATAGAGACTGAGAGATAGGGAGCTCTATGGATTAATCAGTTCTTTGTTGCTGCTGCTTCAAAAAGAATTAATCTGTCAGATAAATGTTTTCTCCTCAGGTAACCAAGTGCTCCCTCCCTTGCTGAGAGGTGTCTTTCCCCAGCATAAGCACAGCTGTTATTTTGTACAGTACTTGACAAGAAAACCCTCTTTCTCATCACATACTCATGTTGTGTCACCTATTAAATACTCGCACCTGCCTTCTGGTTTAAGGAAATCATACTTTAGAATCTTGCTCTCAGCAAAAGCTTTAAGGTAAAGGGCTGTTCTGGCTTCACCTCTTACACCAATGCTGCAGTTTATACAGAAAGCTTTTTCAAGTATGTAACAATTTTCTTGGCCTTGTTAATTTTCATGTAATAGTATTTATTTTACCATACCAGTAAATCTGCCCGTAGAGATTTCTGGAAGCACTAGTGGTGATTTAATTGTTAGGGTCTGCACATGAGTTTAAATGAAGAATTCAGCCTTTACCTTATACAGAAAATGCAATAATTCTTCCAGTGTGAGAATTTATCTGAAATCTCATAAAAATAAATACATCATTATTTTAGGAATCAACATAAAGTGAGAATGGATTTTGCATAAAATTTAGTGCCCAGTTTTAGACTTTTTGCCAGACAGAGTGGAGTAACACTTTGAACTTCTTTA